ACATTTTTTCCCAGTACCTAAAATTATATGCTCCAGATCATACGTCCAGGTTTTTGAGCATCACAACTTTTGAAAGCATCATTTTGGGGCAAAGAGACTAGGTAGGTTATCCCCAGAAATATATTTGGTTTATTTGGTTTCTACTGGTATAGGCCCTTTCCCCTTTCCATGAATGCTCCGACAGTCCTTTGCACCAAGCAAGGGCTTCCAACTAGTACCTATGAATAGTTCTAGTATTGATTTGCTGATTATTTGGTTTGTTTTTAGGTATCATTATTAGTCATATTCAGTTCTTGATATGTAAATGGCAAGCTCAACATGACCTAAGGAAAATAAAAACAAAGTTGTAGATCAAATATGCTGCCTTGGCACACTATGGGTGCGTTCAGACGGGGCGTTTCTGCCGGCATAAACTGTACCGGTTGGAACCGGTGCAGTTTATGCCGGCAGAAACGCGATCACACTTACCTCCCTCACAGCGGAGCCCATCGCAATACACCTGTCCACACTCGTCTTCAGTTTTTTTTAACTTACTTTGCGCATGCACATAGGCAGCCATCCATAGAATGGCAATCTTCACGCATACGCAAAAAACCCTGTCATACATTTAAACTTTAAAGGTAAGGACTTACCTTTAATGTTTAAAGAGCACAGTAGCCTCCCTGAGGTCCTGGACGCCTCCGAAACGCTACAATAAGGCGCTTTTCTTTTTTATATATACAAACAGCAGGGCGAAGCTTCGCCCAAGCGCATATCGCCGTCCTTTAAAAAAAATGGCGGGCGAAAATCGGAAGCCTCAGGCTTCCGAACGGAAGTAGCTGTGCAATGGTGGAGAGCGATCAGACGGCGAGGTACAGCATTTACAACCGTTGCACTCAGGATACCACCACTTGGGGACCTAGTGGTAGAGTGCAACGGTGTAAAGGGCTTTACAACGGTTAGGGACAGGAGGTAGATGTTCGCCGTCTGAACGCCGGTAAGTACAACGATTGCAACCGTCACCTATACCATTGTAAAGCCCCATCTGAATGCACCCACAATGTCAGAATTTGCTCATGACTCATTTGAGATACCCAGCACTTTTTTTGAAGGCTGGTGGTGCTGACACTCCAGTTACTTGCTCAGTCTTCATCTGTAACTTTAAATCCAGTAAAGAATTAAACTACAAATAGGGAAGTAGAAATGAACTTCGGTCTCAAGTTCTGAACACAATTAATTTCTCCTCAATTTGTAGCTCAGAATAAATTCTCAGGCACAAACTAGTCTCTATTTTTTCAGCTACAATACCACAAGAAGTACGCTAAGGTTTATGCTCATGCCTTAACATATTTTCATTAAAAGATAAGAAATATTTAAAAACACTATTCAAATGCCTCAATCCAGAGACAATCACATACTGCATTGCATAACATTTTCTTCATTATGTGACAATATCCCTACAAACCAGTTACTTTTGTGATTGTTGATCACCCACTGAAGGGGTCCTGGATTCAGTTTCACATCTCCATTTTGAAAACAAGGAACAGAAGGGTCATAGCTCAGTACTAGAACACAAGGTTGTTCTATCTCTGGTGTTACACAAATCAGTGTATGCATGTCAGGGCAGTAACATACAGAGGCATCCCCTGGCCTGTATGGACTGAACCCATGTATTTTGGGGCACTTAAACACTTGGGACCGTATTGCCTATATACACAGCGGTGGAGATTCAGATCAACACTCAGAGAAATAAGAGGAAGAAGGAAGAATCTTCAGCAAAAAGGGTTTTATTTACTAACAGAAAAATGCAGAAAAATTGAAGCAATGTGATAAAATAGCAATGTGATAAAATAGTAATCAGAGAAATAAGGGGGAGAAGGAAGAATCTTCAGCAAAAAGGGTTTTATTTACTAACAGAAAAATGCAGAAAAATTGAAGCAATGTGATAAAATAGTAATGAAGGAAAAATACAGAATTGCAATATTGTGAAACAGCAATAATTTTCCTTTTAAAATGGTGGCCTAAGAGAAAATACTGTAAGATAATAAATACTGCATTGCACAACAAATAGTATAAGAGAAAATAAAACATACAAGCCTGTCCAGCAAGAAGGGGGGGAGGGTATTCAAGGCAGCAAAGAAGCAACATTGGGGATTGAAACTGATCAGGAGAAGGCAGAAGATTTGGTTCCAGGTAGGCGGAGAAGAGGTTCAGGATCCAGAAAAGAGACCAACCATGAGGATGTTGCCAAGTCCGACCTCATCCCCAGCAGGTGACTTTGGGGGAGGTGTCCCCAATGCAATGATGTTAAGTTGGGGATGTCCCCACCCCAAGCCCCACCCCCAACAATGACCACCTGTGGCTACCCCTCTCCCTCCCCTCTTGCAAGATTTAAAGGGCCCTCCAGCTAAGCCAGGGAGCACATGGCCCACCGATCAGCTGTAGAGTCCTTAAAATCTTGCAGGAGGAGAGGAAGAGGTGGCTGCCAACCACACGCTTCAACTCCAAGCGGCAATGCAAGGTCTGGGCCCCACTCGCCATAAGCATTTAAAGGGACCCTTTAAATGTTTTTTGGCGAGCAGGGGTTTCATGCAGGCATGTGACATCCAGCCACTGCTCACCAAAAGCATTAAAAAAGATCCTTTAAATGTTTTTGGTGAATGGTGCCACACGGGCCTGAATTCCAAGCAGTGAATCTCCACTTGGAGTTTAGGTTGCAGCGGGCCATGTGCTCAGCTGAAGGGCCCTTTAAATCTTGCAGGATGGGAGGGAGAGGGGTGGCCGCAGGTGGTCATTGTTGGGGGCAAAGCTTCCCCACCGGCCAGGTGGCCAGTGGTGGGAAGGAGCCCACAAAAGCAGGGGAACCCCAATCTGGACCTGGGGGCTTGCAACTTTAATGAGGTAACAGAGTGTTTGCAAACGTGTTACAAAAATGGGTCTGAGAGGCAACTTTTTATACCCTTTTGCCTGGGACGTAAAGGGAGGCGGTATCTTAGCAGTGGAATGTAAAAATAATAAAAATGTAATCGTGGGGGGTGCAAGTATGTGAAACCTTTGTCTCTTTTGTGGAGTCTTCCTTTTACATTTAGAGTGTCAAGAATGTTCCCATGGGGAGATCAGGAAGTCAAATATGTTTGCATCATTTGCCATGATTGGGATAGAGCTGGAATCTTCCTGCCAGGTTGTTTAGCTAGAAAAGATATTTCTGGAGTCAGCCCGTTGCTTATTGCTTTGGAAATCTGAGTCATTGGTTATGATCAGATTAGCAGGGAGGAAGCTCTGGGGTCCTTGGGAAAATGGCCCTTGATTGAATCCCTCTTCAAGTGGGCTTACGTATGTGACCAATAGAGGAGTGGCCCTGCATCCCTTTCCTTCTTGTTGTGACTCACTACTTTTCATTATCAATTGAATTCAGACTCCTTCTATCTTTCTTGGGCCCACACTCAGGTGTACACATGTACAGAAGGGGATGAAACCACACAAAAAAGTGGGTCCCCTTGGCTGAGGGTCTTGTGGACATTGGTATTTTCAGTTCAAAAGATCTCATGTAGCTGCCCTAAGAAATAACTCTTCCTAAGATCTTCATGAGTCAATGAAATCAGGGTGATGGTGTTAAGCTGGATAGGCCAATGGTACAGTTTAAAATAAGGCAAGTCATGTGTTCATTGGAACATATATGAGAGAAGTGGTCACCTATTTGGTTCATGAATGGCACAGAAGCACAAGATACTCTTTGCATCCATAGGTCTGATTCAGAAGAGAGATCTATACTTTGTATCAGGCCACTTCCCTTTTTGTCCCCGTGGCATGCCATAAATCTAGAATTTAAAACAGATGGTGCAGCACAGCATATATTTCCCAGTATCTCTTGAGGGGAAACGTAAAAATTCTGCCTAAGCACTGAAAAATTAAAATAGGATGAGTAATATTGGTTTAACTTGTTTTTGTTAGTTTGTCGGTTTACAACATAGTAAGTCTTGTGTATAGTATGATGCCAGAGTAAAATTTAGTATATATGTTCAGGCCCCAGGCCTGTATTTCAGGTCTGAAGACCACTTTAGCCCCAATTCTATTTCCTGAGTGGGAAGGGATATGGATGTAAAACACAACATTGTAATATATGTCCAAAGAACACAACACAATATAATATATGCCTCGGAGACAAAAGCATCAGAATGCAAATTGGTGTGCACATTTTGGATAAAATTATAATTTTATGTTTCAAGCTCTAATCCTGCATGTGTATTCAAGAAAGCCAGAAGTGAGACAGACTGTATATACCTTTTTACTTAGTTTTCCTTTAGTGAAGCCTATTTCAAAAATTCCACAAATCTTTATATATAGACTCTCTTTCTTTAAAAATATTGTTTTGTAGACATCATATGCTTGGTTTTGGTCCTTTAAAAAATGCAACAAAATTACAATGTCTCCTTTGTTATCCTGACAGTTGGCCATTCTGGTTTAACAATGTACAGAGTGATCAGCCAGGTCATCTGTGCAAAAAAAGTCCAAGCAAGCATGTGACAGTTTCAAACAAAAGTAAAGCATTCCCCAATACTGATGGTAACATTTAAGCATTCTTCCATGCCACCTACCTGTACAACCTACATTTTTACAGCAGGGTAATATCTTTGTAGCAGCATACATTGCCTAAGGCTCACAGGCAATTGATACTTTCCCATGCGTTCAGGTAAATATTTAATACATTCTGGGTCAGTAGTATCCCTCAGATTGCAATTTAGTACTCACTGGATCAAATCAGACCTTCACAAATAAATTTTAATCATGCTTGCAAATCCATTTCACCATGTAAAATTCACATGGCCTTGTCCATATCAAAATACAAGGTCCACACAAGCTCAGGTAGATTTCTAATGTTGCAGGCAGAGACATAATTGTCCAAATAGACACATGGAAGTGCACGCACAAGTGTCCTACAAGTTTGTGTGAGAGCACAATGCATTTCCTATTGGGAAGCAATATGCCCATCTCATTCATTTTCTCTTGTGCTCTTATTGTAGGGCAACCCTCTGTACTTCCAATCTGCACGGAATGTTACAGTGAACATTCTCAATGAGAAGAGTAAAGTTCTTACACGTCTTGTTACAGGTAAGGTGAAGGAAGTGCTCAAGGAAGGGATAAAAAAGAAGAAAAGGGCACTGCGGTGGGGTATTCGGCAATCATTAGCCCTTGGGATAATAATCACTACTTACCTAGCACAATATAAAGTCATGACCCAGCTTGGCCCTGTAGGAGTAAAAAGATAAGAACATTAGAGCTGAACTGAACAAGTGGGTGGCTGTGTATTTCTAATATGGAAGCAGAAAATTATTTTCCTTTGAAAGAAGAGCCTGGGACAAAGGGTCACTTGTACAAGTATAAGGTCAGGAAGAGAATAGTCACTTTGATGTTTCATTTGTAACAATACAAGCCTGTCTCTGGACACTTTAAACTTGTCTATGACAAGTGATATTCTACTGATTAATATTCACAGCAAAGAAATACTTTGCCTTTTAAAGATTTCTAAAAAAAATCCCAAAAAAGAAAATCCCTTGTGCTGATAAGTACCGTTTATGTTCACAAAATGCTACGCTTTATGTTTGACAGGGAAATGGATGCTTCTGAAAATCCCAGCAGACATGTTGCCTTTGAGCACATGCCTTATTTTGCAACAGAAGAAGCTGCACAAAAGAATGCATTCCGACAAGGGAGAGAAGCAGTGCCAGGTGACAGCATCGGCAATCCGTAAACATGTTGTTCTATGTGAAATTGGATTGCCTGGCATTTTTATGTAACACCTGGCTTGCAGTCAGAGCTAAAGACGTTAATGAACTGATTCATTAACCAGTTATTTCTAGTTGCATGTGTAAAAATTGCCATAAGGAAGGAAATAAATTCAACCCAGAATTGAGTCTCAGGTTCTAACACTGCGGGTGGGGGGCTTGATGATCTGGTAGATCATTTGCCATTTATTGGCAAAGAACTCATTTAGTCAAAGGCATCCCTTACACAATAAAATTTAGCAGCCAGTAGCACAGTCACAAAGTAGCACAGTAGCACAGTCACAAAGACAGTGAGAGTATATATATGTGGGAAGCTGTGCACTTGCCAAACTTGAAATGAATGCTCCGTGATGCTCTGAAGAGACACAGCTCTTGCCTTTTATAATTATTATAAAGCATTATTGTGATGCCAGAACTATAAGTTTTCCGCAATTTATAAGGAAGATGCAAAATAGATCAAACCATCTTCAGAAAGAGCAGCTGTTATTATTTATTTATTTGATTTTTACCCCGCCTTCCCCACCGAGGCAGGCTCAGGGTGGCTTACACAAGAAACAATAGTTAAACAACAATAACTATAAAATACACAAAAGTTATTAAAATCAGTTAACAGAACAAAGGCGGTATAGCTACAATAAAGTACACTTATTGGTCCATCCATTATTGGCGGACTCAGGCTGGAAATAGATTGGCACAGGGCATAGATGATAACACAGCTCCTTACCTTATAATAACATTCAACCTTTTTAATGGCTCTGAAGTCTCAGCATGGCACAATGTGAAACCACATCTATAATGAAAGCAAATTTCATGCCTTGTGAAGCTGCCTTATACTGAATCTGACCATTGGTCCATCAAGGTCAGTATTGTCTACTCAGACTGGTGGAGGCTCTGTCTTCAGAGTCTCAGGCTGAGGTCTTTCACATCACCTACTACCTGAGCCTTTTAGCTGGAGATGCGGGGGAATGAACCTGGGACTTTCTGCATGCCAAGCAGAGGCTCTTCCACTGAGCCACAGCCCCACCAGCAAAAATTAGCCTTAAGGAAGGGGAAAGGACTCACATGAACACATGCAGCTGCCTTTTATTGAATCAGACCATCGGTCCATCAAGGTCAACATTGTCTGCTCAGACTGGCAGCTGCTCTCCACTGTCTCATGCAGAAGACTTTCATATCATGTACTGCCAGATCCTTTAACTGGAGATCCTGGGGACTGACCTTGGGATCTTCTGCCTGCTAAGTAGATGCTGTGCCACTGAGCCACAGCCCCTGACCTTGATGGTAAGTTATTAAATGATGGAGTATTCAGTTACTGAACATGCTTTCCTTTGACACCTGCCACATTCACATTATTGCAGAGCCATCTACATAACCATTCTGTGCAAGCTACCACATCGTTCTCATGTCAGAAATATTAGCTATTCATTCTGAATATTAAAGATATATCCCAAGTCGCTCTCCTTTTCCTATAATAGCAGTAGTGTGATATGGGGTATGTGTGTATTTAGCAGATTATGAACACCCTCCTGGGTGCATGAAAAGCTCAAACTAATGCTCTTTAATGATGCAGAATCATGGAAACAATCTTTTTCAATCTGCATGCCATAAAATATGTAAAATTATTTCAACTAACTATAATATAGTCATAGACCGATTTCCCACAATCCGCTGCTCGGTGCTCACTCTTCCCTTTGCCCCAATCGTACATGTTAATTTCACACTATGTGCTGCGTGGTGACATTTTGCCCCGCAACTTCACCCAATTTCCTCCATGTCTATTCAATCCTGTTTTTTGAGGATTGAGTAGACACACGGCACATAGTGTGAAATTGACATGTAGGATCGGGGCAAAGGGAAGAGTGAGTGCGGAGCAGCAGCTTGTGAGAAATTGCCCATAGACTCTATTAGCAGTGCTTCATACTCAAGCCATTCTATAAAAACACAATAAGAATCCTATAAGCATCCTACATTAGAACCAAAATATGTTACAAAATCATCATGAATGTTGGTGTAGTTATTAGGTATGTGTTCATCTTGATTTATATAGCTGCATAAGCTATATTTTTAATTTCCATTGTACTGGTATGATGTACCACATATGATGAGAAGTGGTGTTTTTAATTTATTTATTTATTTATTACATTGGATTTACTAGGCTGCCCTTACCTACAAGTAGGGCTCAGGGCGGCTTACAACAAAATAATATACAATCTCAGATTAAAAGTAAATTACAACAAACCAATAAATACCAATACATAAAACAGCATAGTCAAAATGGCAAAAAAAACCAGCATGTATAAGATGGAAGAAAAGATTCCAACTCCCTAGTCTTCCTGACGGGGAGAGGTTATGAGGGATGGGGATGTGTGAGTGTGCCAAAGGCTACCCTTATTGTTGTCCTCAACCAAAGGCCTGGCGGAACATGCCCTGTGGAATGGTAATAATTCCCTCAGGGCATGGATATCTTCTGGCAAAGTGTTCCACCAGGCAGGGAACTGAACAGCCGGACTTCTCTTGGGCTGGGGATCACCAGGAAGTTCTTATTTCCATCCAGGGGCCTACAGGGGCATATTAGTAATTTTAGCAGCACTCTAACTTTCTCTGTAGAATGATTAATTTAATCTAGCTATCCCACTTCTCTGTGTTGTTATGTAAATATGAAGTTATCACATCATCACTGTTATGGAGGAAAGCGGACACATCATGCCAAGTCATCAGTTTCCATGGCTTGGATCCCACAAATCATTTGCAGTGCTGAAATAATTTCCATCAGTGTAAGGCATCTTCCTTGCTTTCCCTTTCCTGCTGCAGCCCAAAATGTCTCCTGAAAAAAACTGTTCCTGGAGAACAGGGGGCCTCCATAAACAGCATGAATGAGGGCATTTTGGTCTGTAGTGGGAGAGGGAAGGGGAGGAGAGGAAGTTATGTTCTGCTGAAAAACCCTTAGGCCAGCAGAAATGCTTCATGGGATCCAAAACCATAACTGAATGTTTGGGGGAGAGAAGGAAATTTAGACATGGATTTTCCATTTCTGGCAACAAAACCCAGTTTGTCAAACATCTAAATTCATCTGAAGAGAAAGAGGTGTAATATGTTGAAAGAGGAAGAACCAAATTCTGATTGGCAAGAAGCCAAATCAATAAACTTTTTTAAAACCAAAAAGCTCCCATTGTTTGTGTTACATTAGACAGCGAAACACTACCATTAACCCTTTTACCTTTATAGATAGCTTGTTTTTTTAATGTAGGCTGAAGCAAACCATGTTTATATTTTTTAATGAAAGCAGAGGATCACCTTTGGATCCTAATGCATACCTTCAAAAATCAATGACAGTTTAAGTAAAGGTTCCCCAGATTGACAACCAATAGAGAAAGCACTGTGGAGAAGATGGAACGTTCGTATTATCTGCAAACCACTGTAGCATCTTTTACAGCTGGCCCAACAGTGATATATATATTGTCTAACACTTGTGCTCAGACAAGCTACCTGGATACCAGAAGTCAGAAAACATCATAGCATTTCCCTTAGATGTCATTCTGCAGCAGTAGTCTCCCAGAGATGCATGTATTGAACCAGCCTGATCCAGCTAAGCTGAAACTGCTGCACATTTTATTGTTTTGTACATCACTACCCTGAAATCAACATATGAAGAGAGCCCTTCATAGCCTTTGAGGTATTAAGATCTCAAGACTGGCAGTATCATCCACAGTTTACCATGGCACGGAGAAAAACACTCAAGATCAGATTTTCAACACCACTCAAGTACTCATATGCACCATCATTGTACTCAGAGAGCTCATTCAGAAAACTGAGCAAAAGTAAGTTGCCAGGTCACAGGCAGGTTCAGCTCGCACAGATGTCTAACCGATGGGACCAATCTCAGAGGTAGTTGTGTTCAAAGTATGCATGCATTGTGTTGGCATTGTGGTAGAAGCACTCAGAAAAGCTCACTCAGCCACTCATATACATCAGTGTAGAATTCTCTGGGTGTCATTGGCTTGCATATGGCCACCTCACTGATATATGTAGAGGTCAGAACTGCAGCATCACAGAGGTTCTTAGAGGGTTTTCTGGGTCCTGAGGATGCTCAATTAATAATCTGTACAAATCTACAGCAAACAGCACACCATGGGAAAACCATTTGTGTATGCAAACTAAAATGATTCTTTCATTATAATTTCTTATTGTCTTTGAAAAATGATACGGTTAGAAATAGAGTCAAACCTGTGATTAATCATAGTGCATTTAGTATGTGCATACACATTATTTAATAGTTTCCTTTATCTAACCTTTGACTTGGATTGTGATAACTCTACATCCAGATAA